CTCACAGAGATCCACCTGCCTCTGCCTCCCAAGTGCTGGGATTAAAGGTGTGCACCACCTCACCCAGTGCCATAAATATTTTTAAAGAGCATGGTTAGTTTACATTTATTTATTCATTGTGTATATGAGAGGGGGCTCTGCCTGCATACCCTGACAAGTGTGCACACATATATGTACACATACATACATACACACACAACAATAATAAAGCTTTAAATATTAAAAATTAAAAATAAAAAGAAGCCGGGCATGGTGGCACATGCCTTTAATCCCAGTGCTCAGGAGTTAGAGGCAGGTACTGATTGCTCTTGCAGAAGACCTGGGTTCGAATTCCAGAACCCATATAGTGGCTAACAACCATCTATAACTCCATTTCCAGGGGATCTGACTCCTTCTTCTGATGTCCTTGGGCATTGCATGATACAGGTACACTTACATACATGCAGGCAATACACTCATACACATAAAATTAAATATGGGCTGGCAATATGGCTCAGTTGGGAAATAACACTTAGGCACAAACCTTACAACCTGAGTTCAATCCCTAGAACCCATATAAAGATGGAAGGAGAGTACTGACTGCACAGAGTTGTCTTCTGACCTCCACAAGTGTGCCATGGCACATGCACTCCCATCATGCACACACACTCCTGTCATGTATGCACACACACACACAAATAATTTTTCAGATATTTTATTATTTTTATTTTATGTATATGAGTGTTAGCCTGCATGTATGTAAATGCATCATATCATGCAATGTCTGCAGAGGCCAGAAGAGGGCTTTGGATCCCTTGGAACTGGAGTTATGGAAGGTGTGGGTACTGGAAACTGAACCTGGGTCCTCTGGAAGAACAGCCAATCCTCTTAAACACTGAGCCATCTCTCCAGCCCCACTAATAGTATTTTTTTTAATAAAAACTATGTAATAAGCTAGGCATGGTAGCACATACCTTTCTTTAATCACCGCACTCAGGAGATCGAGGCCAGCCTGGTCTAAATAGTGAGTTCCAGGCCAGTTGGAACTACAGGGAGACCCTGTCTCAAAAACCAAATTGAACCAAACCAAACAAAAATACGTAATAAAATAAACAATCCTAGGAGCTAGGGTATAGCAGTTGGTAGTTCAGTTGCCTAACATGAGTGAGACCCTGGGTTCAATAACCAGTACTGAAAAAAATAGTACAGGACTGGGGAGATGGCTCAGTGGGTAAAAAGCCCTTGCCATCTAAGCATGAAGACCTGAGTTCAGATCCCCAGAACCTATGTTTTTTAAGAAAGCCAGACATGTAGCAAAAGCATCTGCAGCCTCAGCACTTCTACTAGGAAATGGGAGGGAGAGATAGGAGAATCCCAGAAGCTCACAGGCCAGCTAGTCTGATGTATGCAGCAGAGAACAACAGAGAGATCCTACCTCAAAGAAGGTGGGAGGCGAGGACTGACATCTAAGGTTCCCTTCTAACCTCCACATGTACACCATGGCACCTATGGGCTCATATTCATACATACATCACACACATATTGTACACATAGATTGTATATACACATCACACACACATACACACACACACACACACACACATAAATCCTAAGTACAGAAAAAATTGTGTGGAGATGTTCACAGTAACATTGAATATAATAGGAAATATAGAAGCAGTTTACCTTTCCAACAACAGAAAAAGATTAAATTATGGTTTATTAATATATTTCAATATTATTCAACCACTAAAATGGTATTTACAGGCCAGGGAGATACCTCAACAGATAAAATCAGTTGCCATGAAGTCTGAGGACCTGAGTTTGATTCTCAGAACCCACATAAAAATTCCAAGTGTGATGGTATGCACCATCTACAGTTTCTACAGCAAGATGGGAGGGAGAAACAGGAGAATTGTGGGCCAGCTAGCCTGCAGTCCCCAGTGCAACAGAAATGAGAGGCCCTGCCACAGAAAGGTAGAAGGTGAGAATGAATGACCAAGCATCGTCCTCTGACCTCCACATGCACCTGCACTAACATAACACAGACACAGACACACACAGACACAGAGAGAGAGAGAGAGAGAGAGAGAGAGAGAGAAATGGATAAATAAAATGTTTTAACTATCATTTACAAAGAGTCTGTAGTAACATGAGAAAATTCTATGTTAAGATATTAAATGTAGGAAATAGGATATGACAAAAATTTTCAAGGTTACAAAAAAGACCAGAAAAAAATATAACCAAATATTGACAGGTATTGTCTCTGAATGGTAGAGGTTTGTAAGAGAATTTTGTCTCTATATTTTGATTAAAAATCTGAAATTTTTTGATTTATTTATTTTCACTTTATGTGTGTGAGTGTTTTGCCTGAATGTATGCAAATGCACCCATGCGTGCAATCTCTCGGGGCTAGAAGAGGGCTCAGAATCCCCTGGAACTAGAGTTACTGAAGCCTGTTAGCCACCATGTGGGTGCTGCTCTTAATTGCTGAGCAATCTCTCCAGCCCCAAGATTAAACATCTTTAATTCTGTAAAAAGTGAATTAAGTTTTCATTTTCTTATCCCACAAGATAAGAAATTTGCCCACAAGCAGTTAGTTCTCAATATCTTCAGTGTTGGAAACTTTGTTTAGATTTTGGTCTTTTGAGACAAGGTAAGCCCAGAATGACCCTGGTATTTGCTGATTAGCCCAGGCAGGCCTTGAACTCACAGCAGTCCTGCCTCAGCAGCCCAAGTGCTGGGATTATAGGTGTGAGCCACTATACCCAGCCTATTTTTTAATTTTTGCTTTCATCTCTGTCCTGTGGTCTGTTCCCCAGACAACTCCTGGCAGGGGGGGGGGTGCTTGGGAAATATCTGCTTCTGTTTTCGTTTGTTCCCATTTTGCCCCCAGCAAAAGCAGTGAATGTAGTCAACCCTCCAGGTCCCCATCCACAGCAGGGAGGCCATCAACTCTGAAGGAAGAGTCTGAGTTCATTTTCTCAACTGCTGTCAGCTCTGAATTGGTGAGAAGCTTATTCCATGTGTGACACTTCCTTAGCTTTAGGTTTTAAATATATTTGGCATAGTTATCATTAATTTAAAAATTCACCTCAAATTTTAGAAATAGTTTTATCAAATGATTTGAAAACTAGACCTTTTTAAGACTTAAAAAGATGATATGTTAATCATATTGTCCTAGTTTACTTCTCTATTTCTGTGATAGAACATTCTGATCCAAACCAACTTGGGAAGGAAAGGGTTTATTTCAGCTTATACTACAACCCTTCATCGAGGGAAGCAGGAGCTCCCATAGGACTCTGGAGGCAGAACCTGGAGCACAGACCATGGAGGAATGCTGCTGACTGGCTTGCTCCTCTGGCCTGTGCTCAGCCTGCTTTATCATACAACCCAGGAATACCTGCCCAGAGGTGGCACCACCCACAGTGGGTTGAGCCCTCCTGCATCACACAACAATCAAGAATGTGCTTCACAGACATGCCCATAGGCCAATCCAATGGAGGAAATGCCTCAATTGAGGTTCCTTCTATGGAAGGTATGGGATTCAGGTTGACATATATCAGGTTGACAACCAAAGCTATCTAGCATACCATACAACCCGCATTCCATATGTCAAACTGGAGAAGTTACTTCAATATAGAATGAGGGATGTTAGCTTTACCCATTTCCATAAATATCTTGAGAATTAGTTAAATTCAGAATTGAGAAGTTTAATGATTGAAGGCACAGGAGGACTATAGTTAGTCCCCAGTGTATAAACAATAACCTATATAAACACATTGCCACCCTTCCTCCCTCCTTCCAGACACCACCATCAAAAGCATTTCCCATGTGCTCATGAGTGAAAGATGAGCAACTTTTCAAAGCTTAGTGCAAGCTGGCTCCTAAGCAAGTCAATCCTCAGACCCTACAGGTACCCTGAAGTCTAGGAAACTCCCTAGGTTAGACATTTCTTAGGCTTAGTAGGTACCCCCACAGATACTCTGTGGCCATCTGACACTGCTGTTTTGAGTACCTGCCATGGAATCACTGTTTTCCTGGGAGTTTGTGAGGTAAAGGAATAGAAAATTATATTACGGTAAAGATGGCACCTGTAAGTGCAGAATAAAGAGAAGACTCGATTTGAGGAAGGGAACATATATGGGTTTTGGTCAGTATTTCAAATAATCAACAAATTCACCATGCTGGGAGTAAAGGAATTGAAAGGGAAGTATATGAGGATAAATATGGCTCAAAACTTGATCTCAGGGGTCCTGCAATTGGACATGGAGAAGAAACACTTAAAGCAATGCAGTCTGTGAACAAAGGTGACTAAATGTGAGCTGGAGGTGACAGCAGCCATCTGAAGGATTCAGCCTGAGAGGTTAAGTGTCATGAAGCTGCTTTTATACTGTCCATGCTTAATAAGCATGCTTGAGGGAAGGCTTGATGGCCAGAGGCCTCCTGCACCCATCCCGGGGGTGCCGCTTATATATGGAGCATGCTCAGGAGACTGGTGAGAAAGAGGGCAGGAGACAGCAGAGGAGTGCAGGAAGGAACAAATGAGGATTCTGAAGCCTAGCTCTGTTTGATTTTGTCCAAGCAGGAAGGAGGAAGCATTCTTCTTTCTCTGTGTTCCTTACCCAAATAGCCTTCTTCCCTGGACCTAGAACTCAAACAATTAACTGACCACAAATAAATGTTGGAATTGAATTCTAAATCCCAATAACCAATCTATAGTCTATTTTTTTCACTTGTTTGTTAGGTAGGACTTACTCAGTCCAAACAGAATTTTAAAACTGCTTTTTTAACGTTAAAAGCCCGTAGTAGATCTAAAATATTAATCGCTGCAATATTCTCATTGTTTTTGTCTTTTTAGAAGCACAGTCCAAGGATGATTCTAGCAGCGGTAAACCTGGAACCCATACTAAATCCAAGAGCAAAACCAAGTAGCCGCTGCAGACCACTGGGCTTCATAGTGTCTGCCTCCATGGAGCACACCCAGATATTGCTGAGCTGTGGAGCTGACAGTGTGGCTTGTGTGGATGGACTCCCTTAGCAACAGTTATTAGAAAAGACACACTATCCAACCTAAGAACATTTCTCATTAAAAGCACAGTAATGGTCACAGGGAGTTAGTCATTGAGTTTACTTGTCATAGTAAAAACAGCTTATGTCAAAGTGTGCTGGCCTTTTCAGTTGATTTCCTGAGAGCTCCTTCAAAAGTGTCAGTTTCCATGAAGAAAATAATGTTTTTTGTAGACTCTGAACTCTAGAGAAAAGCCTGGGAAATAAGAGGCTTTATGTTTTTGACTTAGAAGAGAGGATCTTGCTAATACGCTTAGATTTCAGCCACATTTTCAAATTCCCTCTAATTTCAGGCATTCTTATGTTCTCTCTGATCTTCATAACAATCCTATTATTACTATCTCTGTTTCTCAGAAGATGAAACCGAAGCCCCGAACTGTTGTAAGTCTTCCTGAGGCCACAGAGCTGACTCATGTCAGAACCCCAGCTCTTCGGACTTGTCTAGACTTTTGCCCAGCTGTGGCTTAGATGGCTTCCCCCATAAGAGTCTGTGTTGCTAAAGACTCACCAGAATCTCTTTTTTCTTTCTTTGACTATGTCATTTTTTCTGGTCTTTTCATGTCCCTGAGTCCATCTCAGTAAGGAAGATGGACTCTCTTATAAAAATAAGTTGGAATTGACAAATGAAGGTTGTGGCTGTCACTCAGCAGGGCCCCTTTCCACTTACTGCTCCTGTCCCATTTTCATGTGTGTATCTCCCTGGTTCAGTCACCTCTGGGGAGATTGCTGCACTTTTTTTTTTTTTAGCTCCACATAGCTGGTATTTGGTTGGCTTTTGGATCTTAGACCTTTGCCTGGTCTTTCATGCTCAGAAACCCCCTGACTCCAGAGTCTCCACCCTTATTGAAATTGAATCCTTGGCCAGGCCTGCCCCTGGCCACCTTTTAAAAGTATGAAGGATGGGTTCAACATTACTTAGAAGTTATGTGTGCCCACTGGATGAAGTCTGGCCAATTGCACTCTTTCCTTGTGGGGGAAAAAACATGAAATCATTTGGCTAGTTGGTTGTACTTAAGGCCCAGCTGACAGCACAAGCTAAAGCTCTTGGTGCATGTTTACAGCTTCTACCTGCAAGATCATAGTCAGCCCTGCTTGCCTCCTTTCCAAAGAGATTCTTGGATGATACTGGCAAATTTGGAGGCTTTTAGGGATATGGTTATAGAATGATGTGTCAAACACCATATCAGCTCCATCAGGTAGAAGGTTCTGTCTCTAAATGCTATGTCTACTGCTACCTCAATTAGAACAAGATGTTGGGTATCAAAGATTTACATTAGTTTGGGTGGGTTGATTGTGAGCCACAGAAACTCACTTTTGCAAACCATATAAAAGGAGGATTTATTGAAAGGATTTGAGGGTATGCAGAGAACTGAAGTCTGTAAAAATCAGAGTAGGAACAGACAGCAACCAAGTAATTGTAAAAGATGTGAGGAATAATATTTGCTTCATCATCTTACCCCAGTGCTACCATGGAACAAATTCCAATAATTTCTTCCATCTTTACCTTATTTTGCCAGGCTCGGGTTCCTAAGGGAGGGGAGGGGCTATTTGATAGTCACAGTTTGCACCATGGATGTACCAGGGATGATGTTCTCAATTCCTTTCTATTGCTATGATAAAACACTGACCAAAAGCAACTTAGGGGAGGAAAGGATTTATTTTGGCTTATACTTCCAGATCACAGTCTTTCACTGAGGGTGGTCAGGGCAGGAACTCAAGCAGAAACTTGAAGCAGAAGCCATGGAGGAACACTGCTTGCTGGCTCACTTGCCTGCTCATGCTCAGTTAGCTTTCTTATACAGCCCAGGACCACCTGCCAGGAAATAGTGTTGTCCACAGTGGACTGGGTTGTCCTACATCAATTAACAATCAAGGCCATCCCCCATAGACATGCCTTTAAGTCCAGGCTGATCTTCGTAATCTCTCAATTGATAGTCCCTTCTCAGGTGACTCAAACTTGTGTCAAGTTCACAGCTAAAGCTACCTGGGACAGATAGTGAGAAGACTTCAGGGATCTCAGCGTCTTCTTTAAAGGGAAAGAAAGATCTTGCTCTACTGTTCTACCAAAACATAACACAACATGAGAAAGGAAATGTCCCTCTCCGAGTCAGGGTGGTGTTAGGAAGACATAATGTTTGGTGGTTTTGAGAAAAATGTGACATGGAGAAGGCATCTGTAGGTTAGCTTGGAAAGCTCTACTCTCCAAAATAATTGTTTTGTGGGAAAGTTTACATAGTCCTTCAGACCTTGCTGTAAGTATTTGGGTTTCTCAAGCAGTGTAGAGGGAGGAACTTGTTCATTAGCCTGGCATCAAGGCTGTTAAACGAGGCTATAATGCTTGTGTTGAGGGAGACCAGCTACTGTGTGCTCAAATGTTAAGACACACCCATGCTGACATCTCTGCAAAGCTGTCCTGGCACTGTAGTAGAAAGGAAACTGATTGGCTTTATCATATTCCACCGACTTTTTGTTACCATGACAAATACCTGAGAAAAACAAAGGAAGGAAAGGTTTATTTTGGCTCATGTTTTGCTAGGTTTCAGTCCAAGGCTGACTGGATCTGTTGCTTTGGACTCAAGGTGAGGTGCAAATAACAGGTGGTAGGACCACGTGGTAGAAACTGTTCATCTCCTGGTGGCCAGGAAGCAGAGAGGAACTGGATGTGGCCAGGGACAGAATGGATCCTTCAAAGGCATGGTCTCATCCATCCACTTCCTCCAACTAAGCCTCACCTTCCATAATTCCAGCACTTCCCAGTGTACGTGGAATTTGGTTCGTGCTACCTGTAAGAACAGAGTCTGTGATAAAGGCCAGCCTGGCTGCAAATTTATGATTCTCTTGCTTCAGCTTTCCAAGTGTTGAGATTATAAAGAAGAGTTAACGTGTTTAGTGTGACTTTATTCTGATCCTCATAATCCCGCCCCCCAAAAAAAGAAAAAGGAAGAATGAAAATTAAGAAAAAAAAACTTAAGTAATCTCCATTCAAGAGTTCCATTTAAGTTCTTTAATTAGATATAAACTTTACATGCAACATGGGTACACTTTTTTTCTTCCATTTTCTCTTGGGAACATTTAAGAATGACTATAGTGTTATTGTTAGAGTTGGGTGCAAGGAATTTAGAATGGAGTCAAATGATTGAGTGTGGGAGGGGACGTGAGTGAGATGTGCTTTGAAGATGTACATGCCTCTGCCTCTTAAGTGCTGGGATTAAAGGTGTACGCCACCTGGCCGGAAGTTTGAATCTTAAGCATAGGTTTACAACTGAATGTGATAAACACATGGGTGGGGGCTCATAAAAAGGGCTGTGGGAGCTGCAAAGACCTTGTCAAAAGGGCCAGAGAGAATATACAGTAAAAAAGATATTTGAACTAAATCTTCAGAAATCAAAATTGAACCATGTTTAGATTCAAAATTCTTTCCAGATCTCTTTCCTCTATTTATGGTGATGAGATGATTTGCCTGTGGTTAGATTCCTTCTCTTACCACTGCATCAGTTCGCTGTATTCTCATGCATGTGGCCATGTTGTGACATCCTACATTCAAAGGGCATCCTACTTGGCAACCTGAGGAAGGGCAGAAAGTGAGGACCCAGTGCCTCACTCAGGAGTATGGCTTAATATGGTAGATTCACACAGTCCTTTGCCCATCCAGCCCTACAGCATGGGAGAGTCTTTCTTTTTGGGATTTAGTGACTCAACAGGTTTGAAAGAATTGGGGTAGTGAATGCTTCCTTGAGCTCTGTTGCTGGGAGAAGACAGGAGATTTAGCATGTCAAATGGTAAAGGTAAAACCACAGTGGACGGCTTCTCTGTGGACAGTGACTGAAGGGTGTGTAGGTATCGAAGCTGAACAGCCGCCGGGGTGCCCGACAGAATCTCAGCTGCCATCCTCAGGGACTCAGAAGCGGCCTTTTCCCCTTCTGCAGCGATCATCTAGAGAACAGATATGAGGGAAAGCAAAGTGACCTGCTTCTTCATCCATGGGGGTTTTAATCACTCGCCATTCATTCAATGTGACTCAGAAAACAAGCACTGCACATCCACCCAGTGGCAGGTATTGTTCAATTCAGGAGACCAGATTCAGTCTTCTTTCTGATGGATCCTGAGGTAGGGGAAACAGATTAAACTATCAATCAAAATTTAAGGTGTAGTTTGTTATAGGCTGTGACAAGTATAAATGAAGATTAGGGGGATTATTAATGTCTGGTAGGCTTAAACAGTAGGCTTTTGTCATGCAGAGGGAAGGTTGGCCAGAGTTCTAAGTACAAGCATGGAATTAGGAAAGGTTGATCTCCAGCATGGTAAGAAAGAATGGGTATTTCAGAAGAGAAGGCTCTGAGCCCACCACTCATGTACCACCTAAAACGGGGCACAGATAACTGGGCTTAGGGATCTAGGAGCAACTGTGCCCAGAGGACCACTTCCCTCCATCCCTCCTCTTAGAGCTCCAGGTTATTAATTCTTCTCTGTAGTTGGGGTCCTTTTCTTCATCCACTGAGTTCTTTGAGAGAAATCTTCCTTTCTCTATCCCTTCATTGTGCTAAGGGTGACAGGGGACTAAACTATCTGGGGAAGATCACAGCACAAGAGAAGCGGGATGAGGAAGAAAGAGATGCTTTTAAACAGAGGATGAAGGCATTTGGGAGGATGGCACTTTTAGAAGGTAATGTGGGAATAGGGACTGTGCAGTCAGTCCTGTGAATACACTATCAACATGATGGGGACACAGACATATTCCACTCAGCTCCTGGACCAATGGAAGGAAGCAAAGGAGAAATTTCCCCACCAGCAGGCCTTCTTCTGGGCTCTCTGGTGCTGCTTACAGAAAGCCATTGGTGGGAGGACATCACGCTCAGGGATGGCTCACCCGCACTTTGGCCTGTCTTTGTGCTTCAGCTTCCACAGCAAGAGAGTGCTGAAGCCCAGCTGGCAGCCTCACATCCTTACTGTAAAAGAATACAGGAAATACACGTGTGTGGCCCTGACCTTAGCAGCCAGGCCTTCCTTACAGACTTGCCCCTTTCTACCGCTGTTCCATGAGCAGGGAATTCTCTCTCTCTCTCTCTCTTTTTTTTTTGAGAGCAAAAAGCAAACTTTTGTTGAAAGATAATTACATCTATACATATAAAGAGTCAGCATACATAAACACATTCATACACGCATCCAAAGTCCCTGAGGAGGAGCGGGGTTTTAAGGATTTTAGTGGTTTCCCCTCCCCTAATTTTGAATTTGTCAGTGCTAAGATGGGTGATGGGTCACATCTCTAAGCTGAGATCCAGGGCCATGTGACTCTAAGCAAGTCAGTTGAAGGGACCTGTTGGAGTTAAAAATAAGGTCTTCCTGGCCGGGTATGGTGGCACACGCCTTTAATCCCAGCACTCGGGAGGCAGAGGCAGGCAGATCTCTGTGAGTTCAAGGCAAGCCTGGTCTACATAGTGAGTTCCAGGCCAGCTGAAGCTACCAGGGAGACCCTGTCTCAAAAAGACAAAAAAAAAAAAAAAAAAAAAAAAAAAAAAAAGTCTTCCTGCCAGAGACCAAAAAGAAGCAGGAAGTGTGCCATCTTTATTCTCAGTGACCCTTTTTGCTTACTAGGAATTTAGTCTCTTACAGTTCAGTCACTGCAAATCCATCCCTGGAGCAGGGTCTAGCAGCTCCAGCCTGTCTACTTAGCCATGTCAAGGAGGCTCTGCAGGGAGGTGGGCACCCATGTCTTCTCACTCAACATGAACACCATACCTAGGCCTATGTAGATCACAATAGGGCCAAAAGTATAGATCTGCTTGCCGTCATACTGTTTGCCAGTGATGGGCATGAACAAAATGTGCTCCTCAGTCTAGGTCTTGATGAGGTCCTTAAAGTTCATGGGCAAAGACCTGGTAGCCACACCAAGCCATGTGCCATGTTCCTGGGGTTACAGATGGTTGTTAGCCACCATGTGGGTGTTGGGAATAGAACCCAGGTCCTTTGCAAGAGCAGCCAGTGCTCTTAACTGCTGAGCCATCTCTCCAGCCTCTCAAGGTTGCTTTTCCTTCTTTAATAGGATTTACATAAAGTCTTAAGTGATAAAAGTGACCACAAATTATGAACATAAACTCTGTGTAATAAGAATGTCATAGACCCGTACAGTCTATGGTATTTAAGGCACTGACCTTGGACATGCTCTTATCTGCCCATCTTCCACCTCAGAATTCTAGAAACACACATTCTGTTCAGTTAGAATTTACTGTTCAGGGGAAGGCACTGGGACTTGCTGAGAATCAGTTCATCCCTGCTGGCTAGTGTAAATGAGTGAATTCTGAAAATGAATGAAAGTTAAGGTTCAGGGACCTGTACCAGTTCTCAGGGCTATCCATGAAGCTCTCCCATGAAGACAGACCCAAATCACCTATTTTTAGAGAATTTTACAAGGTGCCTATAATTCTCCATTCAAATGATAACAAAGGCCATCCCCATGTCCATTAAAGTACTGAAAGATAATACGATTCTAGACTTTGTGTTATTAAAAATAAAAACAATACTAGTATAAGTGGTCCAAGCTTAAACTGTGCTTTCTTCAGAGCTGAGCTGGAACCTGGGAAATCAGAAGTCTGCCTTCCTCATATATTTTTCTCCTTCGTAGTTTCTATAGAAAACCAGATCTAAGCAATAAGCAATTCAAAGTTTAGCCTTATCCTTCTGTTCAGGTGGGTCTTGCCGCAGATTCCCCTTTCCCTCAATGTGCTTTCTGAGTGACAGAGACAGGTTTCCCATACACCAATGTCATTGGGTCTTATATACCTCTGAGCCTTCTAGAAGACATCTAGAGTTAAAGCTGACACAGAGCAAACCAACCACTAGCCATGGATACATGCAGGTTCCTTCCTACACAGTTAAGTCCAAATGTATTCCTAATAGTCTATGGAGTGCCTTGACATCCGGAGTGCCATAGTCTGAAATCTTCAATTTCCTTTGCTTTAATTCCAAGCAAAGACTAATGTGTGGAACTGGGATATAAAATATTGTGAACAGGACTAAATCCAAGAGCACCAAGGAGCCTCTGGACATTCCTGTGCGGATTATCTAAATTGATTAGTCGTTTTCACAGCTGCCACAGAAGCTCAGAAAAGAGGTCAAAGGACCAGGCTTCAAGCTGCCAGAGCTGGAACACAATCTTCATCTGCTCATCCGGCACATGGAGCAGGAGATCATCCAGAATGCCCAGCAGCTGCAGTGTGAGGAGGACATGATGGGCATCCTCTCCCATGAGCTGGACAAAACCACTGAGGTCCTGGCTCAGGAGGAGTAGGTCATGTAGCCCAGTGCTAGCCCTGGTAGAGGAGTGGGAGGGGAGCATGCAGCAGCACACGCCAACCCCCTCACACTGGAGGAGTTTGCCTATATCTTCCAGACACTGCAGCACAAGTACTTCGAGGAGCACCCCTTAACAAACCTCCCCCCTAGCCTCCGTATTCCCACTCATCAAGGACTACCTCCTAGTAGACAGTACCTATGGCACCCAGATCATCTCTAAGTGGAAGAGCCTTCTGGAAGATGACCAGCTGCTATCCCACAGCAACCAGGACCCATCCTCAGACCTCTTTCATAGGCTCATGTGGGAGGTCTGGATGCCTTCTGTACACAATGCCATCAGCTAGTGGCAGCCCAGGAATGGCAGCCCCATGGTGGACTTCCTGGACGAATAGGTGTACATCCTCCTGGTATGGATTGTGGACAACATCCTGGACTGGTTCATCTTTTCCAAGCTGCAGAAGGAGGTGGACAGCTGGAAGCCCTTGATGGACACTGTTCCCATCCACTCATGGATCCATCTGTGGTGCCTGCCCCTCATGCAGTCCTGCCTGGAGTTGCTCTACCCCATCATCTGCAGCAAGCTTTTGAGTGCTCTGCAGAAGTGGCACCCCAGGGATGTTTCAGCCAGGTTAGTCCTTGCAGCCCTGGAAAGATGTCTTCACCCAGGGCTCATGGGAGGCTTTCAAGTCAACAACATCTTGCCCAAGCTGAGTATGTGCCTGGGTGAACTAGTCATCCACCCCCACCAGCAGCACATGGATGCCTTCTCCTGGGGGATGAACTGGGAAAGGATGATCTCTGTCTCCAGCCTGGTAGGACTCCTGGAGAAACACTTCTTCCCCAAGTGGCTTCAGAGACTGTGCTTTTGGCTCAGTAACAACCCTGATTATGAGGAGATCACCAAGTGGTACCTTGGCTGGAAGTCCATGTTCTCAGACCAGGTGCTGGCACAGCCATCTGTGAAAAATAACTTCAAGGAAGCACTTGGTATTATGAACAGGGCTGTGTTCCTCAGTGTTCGTGTCTGTTTTCATCCAGGTGCACAAGAGAATACTGCCTACCTCACCCACATGGAACAGAAATACTTCCAGCATAAGACCATGGATGATGGCCAAAAGGCCAGGAAGGATCCAATGCCCTCTTCTGGCCTCCACAGGCAATGCATGACATGGGCTCACTTACATACATGCAGGCAAAACACTCATACATGTAAAATAAAAATAAACAAAAAAATTTAAGAAAAACAACTTTGAGGTGCCATACAATTGATAGTAAAGATAAGAGGAACTCATCTAAGTTTATAAAAGAGAAGAATTGAGTTTTGGAGAGTAAGACTGACCAAATAAGAACAATTCTAATAATATTCCATGAAAGACACAAAAGTGAATTTTCACTGTAGCCTTTTCCATAATAGCTCAAAGGTGGCTATTCAATGTATAATCAAAATTTTGTATGGCCATACAATGGAATATTATTCAGCTATAAAAAGAAATGAAGTACTGGTATATGCCATGCTACAGATACACCTTGAAAAAGTATGCTAAGTGAAAAGAAGCCAGACACAAAGGCTTCATGCTGTGATTTCATTTCTGTGATATGCCCAGAGTAGCAGGAGCATCCACTGAAGGAGAAATGGTAGTAGTCAGGGGCTGAGGTGAGGGGGATAGAGAGCTCTTGCTTTATGAGTACTTTTTTCTGGGGTGATGAAGCTGTGAAATAGGTGGTAGTCACAGCTGCACCTCTGATACCACTAAAACCAATGAAAGTATAAAATGGTAAGTTTATGTAATATTTAATGAAAACTATGAGGACAGTTTGCCCAAATGTTATAGCAGTTAGGTAATGTTTTTCTCTTGTACCAATGTGGCTACAGTACTAAAATTAAATTTTCAAATATTATTCTTAAAAAAACATTGTTCTACCTGGTTATTTTCCTACCTACATTTCGGTTCTCTCCACTTTGATGCCCCAAACACAGGTCACTGAATCCAAGGCAACCTGTGGAGGAAAGAAATGAGACCCCAGTGAGACCTTCCAGGTGAGAATAGAGCCCTCCTGTGCACCAAGAGCCATAGTTTTGTCTTCTCAACATTTCCTTTCAGAGGACACCAGGCCTGTTAACTGTCACAGTGTCTGGGACAGAGTTGTTTAACAGAACAGTGCCATTAGATATCACTGTGAATCTAAAGTTGGTATATAGGGAACTGAATAATGGCTCCCAAAGGTGTTTATGTTCCCAATCCCTAGAACCTACGAATGTTACCCAAGAGGACTTAGAAGATGTGATTAAGTCAAAGGCTCCTGAGAGGAGACATTATTCTGGTGGGCCTTGGATTCAATCACACGTATCCTCATCTGAGAGAAGATCTGACTCCAGAACGGAAGGCGTTGAGATGAGGGGAGCAAGGGCTGGACTGTGAAGGTAAAAGACAGAGGGCAGATAAAGCGGCTGAGAAAGGCAGGTGGTACTGGATGCTGAGAAAGACAAGGTTGTAGGATTCTCCTTCAGCCTCCAGAAGGACTTTGCCTTGCTGACTGGACTTGAGCCCAGTGAAACTGATTTGGGATTCTGGTCTTCATGTAAGAGTAAGCTGTTATTTTAAGTCACCAGGTTTCTGAAAATTTGAAAGCACTAGGGTATAGTGTATTTGTTCAGTCTGTTTTAAAATGCACTCACTAGAGAAGAGTCCCTATTCTCAGACCCTGCCAGATGGCTCTCATTGTTAGGATGCCTTTCCTCCCTTACTGCTGTGCATCAGGATCACCACACTTCTGTCCTCTCTGTCCTCCAAGACTGAAATTGGAAATGGAGCTGGAAAAAATGAACTGGATTCTGGAAACAGGAGGATGGCGGAGCAGGCATAGAGCTCTCCATTTTAGCCCATACTCGTTTCTTTTTAAACATATTTTCTGGTAATTTCTTGGAGGCTAGTAGTGCATCGCATTGAGAATCCAGAGAAGACCAACTAATTTGGGGGAGCAGGTGTAAGAAATGTCGATATTACATCATACATGAGGTGGCATCATAAGGAATACATAAGATTTGTCTTGTAGAAAAAAAGAGAATTCCAGGCAGAGAAGTTGCTTGAGAAGGCCTGGAGACATGAAAGTGCTCTATGCTGGGTGAATGCTAAGTAGATGGGAGCACTGAATTCAGTGGAAGAAAGATGATGGCAAGTGAAGCTAACAGTTACCGTTACTTTATTTATCCAAGACTTGGCTGTGTGCCAAGCCCATGCAAGACACTGCCATTATGGAATTCATACTCTGGGGTGACAGATGTATAAATGCCCAAGTTATAATTCAGTGTAACAAAGGTGAGCTTAGATGTCAACAGTCTTCTCTTTCAAAGGACAGGGATGAACAAGGAAGGAGATTAAGGAGACAGTGGGGGAGCATACTGAGTGATTTAAAAATCAGAGCTGGAACTCCCATATATCTTTCATGTTCTTTATCTCTTTTTTAGCTGATTTTTATTTTTTAAAAATTTGAAAATTTAAAATTTTTATTTATTTTTATTTTATGTGTATGAGTGTTTTGCCTGCATGTATTTAAGTGCAGCCATATGTGCAACATTCAGAGGCCAGAAGAGGGCATTGGATCCCCTAGTACTGTAGTTAGGATGGTTGTTAGCCACTATGTAGGTGCTGGGACCTGAACCTGGGTCTTCTGTAAGAAAGAACCAATGCTCTTAACTGCTGAGCCATTTTTCCAGCCCCTTCTCTTTATTTTCCAATGTCTTTCCTTTTCCATCAAGATACTAATTCTAGCTGGGCATGGTGGCACACGTCTTTAATCACAGTATTTGGAAGGAAAAGGCAGAGGCAGGTGGCTCTCTGTGAGATCAAGGCTAGCCTGGTCTTATAGCAAGTTACAGGCCAGGTGGGGCTACAGGGAGACCTTGTCTAAATAAATAAAATTAAATAAATAAATAAATAAATAAACAAACAAACAAAAGATACTAACCCTAGTTTATTAGGGACACTTTGGACAAGTCATAAACATTTGGACATTGCTTTTTTTTTTTTTTTTTTTGGCTTTCTGAGACAGGGTCTCTGTAGTCCCAGCTGTCCTGGAACTCACTTTGTAGACTAGGCTGGCCTTGAACTGACAAAGATCTGCCTGCCTCTGCCTCCCAAGTGCTGGGATTAAAGGTGTGTGCCACCACACCTGGCTGACACTGCATTTTTCCAGGTCCCATAAAACATAATCGTTATTGGTGCCTTTGATTCTGAGGTTACTCCATTTCAGGCCTTTCTTCCTCCTAGATCTTATCTACAACTTCCTAACCTAGTTTGGGGCCTGGGTGTTTCCATGACTTTGGTGTGAGGCTTGGTCACTGGTGTTAAATGTCACCTGACTGGCTACCTTCCCACAGACCTGCTTTATTCTGTCTTTTTTTTGTTTTTGTTTTTTAAATTTTATGTGTATGTGTATATTGCCTGCATGTAGGTAAGTGCATCCATGTTGTGCAATGCTGCAGAGGTCAGAAGAGGCTGTCAGATCCCATGGGACTGGAGTTACGGACAGTTGCTAGCTGCCATGTGGGTGCTGGGATTCGAACCCGGGTCTTCTGCAAGAACAATCAGTTCTTAACCACTGAGCCATCTCTCCAGCCCCTATTCTGTCTTCTTAATACCTCTTACCAATATGTTTTGGTAACAGAAGTGTCTACCCTGGCTGAGGTATGAGATTGAAGAGATTGCAGACCTTAGTGCCTCTAGACTCAATAAGACTGCTTAGAAGATGATTTCTATTTTTCTTTGTGTGTGTGTGTGTGTGTGTGTGTGTGTGTGTGTGTACATGCACCCATATTTGTGCATTTGGAAGCCCAAGGTCCATGTGAGTGTCTTCCTCTGCTGTTGTTCACCTTATTTTCTGAGACAGGATCTCTCACTGAACCTGGTGCTTGCCAGCTGGCTGGACTGGCTGGCCAGTGAGCTCCCAGGATCCTCTTGGCTCTGCCTCTCAGTACTGGGTCTGCACCACCACACCTGGCTTTTTATGTGGGTGCTGGGGATCCGAACTCAGGTCCTCATGCTTGCATAGCAAGTACTTTACCCACTTAGCCATCTCCCTAGTGAGTTTTTATTTCTATCCCCTCCTTTAATGCCAAATCAATTAAATCCAGATAATAAGCAATTAATCATGAAAGGATGTGTGGCATCTGACATCTGAAAGCCTTACTTGAATTGATTGTTATTTACCTTTGCTCACATTATGTTGCTTCCCCAGGCAGACTGTCAGCACCTAGGAACCACGCCTCCTCATCTTAGTTTACTACCATCAACCCTCCTTCCCATGCCCACCAGCCCCATTATGCGTGCCAGCATCCCCTCTCAACATTCTGTCCTAGGCCGGCACCTCACAGTGGGCCTAAGGTCACGGAGCAGCCATAGGGTGGGGAGGAGAGCAAAATATGTACATAACACTGATTATAATTGATTCAATCAACTGGGCAACTTTTTAATTAAATGTCAGTCACTCAAGGAATGGCATCTTGAATAGCTGGATGCCTGGCACATGCAGATTAACAAATGGACAATAAACAAATGACTAAAAGGCAGAGATAACTTTGATGCATTCAGTATTAAACTTATCTCAGTACCTTTACGTCTTGGGCAATACTTTTCCTCTCTAGAAGAATTTCAGTGAGGGATCGATGTGCCAGGAGGCGCTTCATAGTGGTTTGTACCAGGAACTGGATGGCTTTGGACACATGAGCAAGACTGCTTAGAAGAAGAGAGGCATTCTCCATGCGGTAGTAGCAGACAGCATCTACCTCCATTATAAACATGTCTTTGGTCACCACCTGGGCAGAAGAAAAGTTTGGATGACAGGTTGAATTCACGGGCTCCTCTTCTATTGGGGCAGGGAAACTAAATGAATTCAAAGTGCATTATCTCAGAATAAGAGTATAGTAAGGAAAAAGAGAAATGGGCTTACTCTTCATTCAAAATATGCTTTAGAAAAAATATGAAGATTTTATTAAACATACCAGACATAGTAATGCTTGCCTGTGGTCTCAGCAGTGGGGAAGCTGATCCAGCAGGCATTTAATCAATGAGGGAGAGAGAGAGAGAGAGAGAGAGAGAGAGAGAGAGAGAGAGAGACACTAACCCAGGCTCAGAAAAATACATTAAAGAAATCATATTTATTTATTTTTATTTTACATCTGTGTTTTGCCTGCATGTATGTAAGTGCACCTGTGTTGTACAATGTCCACAGAGGCCAGAGAGGGTATTTAGGTCCCATGGACCTAGAGTTATGGACAGTTGTTAGCTGCCATGTGGGTGCTGGGAACTGAACCCAGGTCCTCTGTAAGAGTAGTCAATGATCTTAACTGATGAGTCATTCTCTAGGGCCAGAATTCATAATTTAAAGAAATTATGTTAGAAATTATTTTGTAAAGACAAATCAAAAATAATTTTCTTGCATGAAAACATTCAGTTGATTTTATATCAGGCCTTCCTGAGCTGATGCCAAACAAGTCTTCTGGAAAAGAGGAGTGTTCTGGGATATAAGTGAGCTCACATATGCTTCTGGAATGACACTAGAGGGTAAGCTGATAGCGCACAGCAAAGGCCCTGAGAAGATGCATTTCTCAACATTGACACCCATAGACATTTATCATAGGGCCAAATTTTAAGGATTCAGCTGTATGAATTGTTATTCACAGTGCTGCTTACTGCAGTAAAATATTGGAAAATATCATCAATATGTAGCTGGTTGAATAAAATGATGGTATAGCCACACAATAAAATATGTGTCCATCTTCAGGAAAAAGCACAGATAATATATGAAAAGGTGACTGCAATATAGTGTTGGAGAAAAGAAGAGCAGGATACAATGTAATAATCTGTAAAGATAGAAAAACATAGAAACAAAGATAAACATAGAAAACTCTGGAAAGTTGCACTCCAAAACATCAACAAGTACTCATGGGTGTTAGTAGTAGGGAAAAGTATATTTTCCAGCACTTTGATTGTGTTAAAAATATACATATATAAATGACCATTTTAACCATTCTTAGGTATACAACTTTGTGACATTGGACACATTCATAATGTTGTACAGCCATTACAAAAATTCATCTTCGTATGTCTCTTCTGACTTGTAAAATGGAAACTCTAAACCTATTAAATCCTGGCCCCCTTCTTGCTCTTAAAAACCATCACTGCAGTATCTCTATGATCTTGATGGCTCTAAGCACCTCATAAAAGTAGAATCATATGGAATTTATCTTTCTGTTATTATTTCATTTAGCAGAATGTCCCGAAGATTCATCCACATTGTAGATGTCAGATGTAGATTCTATGCCAGAATCTCCCTATGAGTCTGCACATTATCTCACTGTGTGAATAGCTGATATTTTGCTTATCAGTTTTCTGTTGATAGCCACTTGGGTTGCTTCCATGTTTGAGCTTTATGAATAATGCAACTATGTACATCAATACACAAATATCTCCTGAAGATTGAATTTTTTTCCCTTTGGTTAACTTTTACTATCTTAAATAAGCATTTTAAAAGGAAAACAACTTCTGTTTGCCAAAAGAAAAAATTGGAAAGAACCTCACTCAAAGGAGAAGACAATTTAGGAAGGCTTATAAACTTGAATCACTGATAGAGAAATACAAGGTTATAGAGAGAGAGAGAGAGAGAGAGAGAGAGAGTATAGTACCTTTAGTGTTCATTTCACTGGTGTTTAATACTACCCTGTAGTAGTTCAACCAACCTCTGGGATGCCTTTCATCTGACAAAACTGAAACTTATTAAATAATAATTATTGCCCATCCACCTCCCCCATAACCCCAGGCAACCAACACTCTTTCTGTCCCTGTGAATTTAGCTACTCTAGGTACCTACTATAAGTAGACTCATAATAGCATTTGTTTTTTTTATTGACTTTTGCATTTAGCATAATGTCCTCAAGATTCATCCATGCTGTATATAGAACATGTCAGTATTTCTTTTCTCTGAAAGGGTGTCTCTTAATAGGATAGTGTAGCTAAAATTCCTTCTGGGAGGTGTAAACAATGTCACTCCCACCCCCTTTGTCTCTCTAACAAGCAGAGGCTTGATTTTGCCAAACTACAGTCTGGGGAACCAGTGAGTTTATTGGGCTTACTTACAGAGCAATGTGTGAGCAGGTTTACTTACAGAAGTATGGGTGCTCCCCCTAGAAGGCCACACTGCAAAGTCTTCATCCAAGTGTGGATGGTGACTTCCCCACAGCTATACAAAATGGCAAGAGACTCTCCTTCCTTGCCCGTTTTTAACCTAGGTTGTTTGCTTTTCCTTGACCCAAAAGAACTTTTCATATATCCTGCATATTAACCCCTTACAAGATAAACAATTTGAAAGTATGTTTTCCTATTGCATAAGTCACTTTCACTCTGTTGATTATGTCCTTGATTAATAAGTTTTTAATTTAGAAATATTCCACATCTCTACTTTTCTTTCTACTTTTAAGCACAGTCAGTTTTTCATGAAACAGAGTTGGAGGCAGGACTATGGAAAACGTTGAGAGAAAGCAAAAGCTGCCATGTAGCTTACCTCATGAAAAGGTATCTCTAAGGTCTGGAGACGAAGGTCAACCTTGTGGTAGGTGTCCAGACAGGGCAAAAAGAAGAACAGACCTACAAGAAGGCACGTGGGGGAAATAACAGGTGAGCAGTAAGTGCGGGGGCCATTGGAGCTTACCTTTTTAGTCAGGCAGCACATTACATTGCTTTTCTTAGCTTCCAAGTACCAAGAGACAATTGGGTAGCTTTGTATAGCTATTGTATAGCTAAGGTATTGTCATATAATTTGTTTTAAACTGGAAACACTTTTGAGGTTAAAGGGGGAGCATTATTACAACTGATTTCAGTATAACGTGTAAACAGAGATCATCCCCAGCAAACTGAGCCATTTGGTCACTTTAGTTATCATCTTGACCCCTCTAGATTTCTTTCTTTTTTTTTTAATTTTTACAAAAACTTTATTGAGAATTTCATACATGCATATAAGGGGTTTTGATCAAATCCATGCCCACTACCTCCCCTCCAACATTCCCCCATCTGAAGAGGTAACCCTAAAATATTTTAAGGATTAGATACAAGCTCCCAAATACTTTTGACATTTTTGACCTTTGGAACAGAGTATGTTGCTAACAAGCCCAAGCACATTTAGACTTGAAAGTCAAGAAACTTAGCTACATTTCTTTGGGGTCTTTCTACCCCAACTGCCTAGCCAATTCCTACCTCCTATTCTTATCACGCCATCCCCTGAAGAGGTTACCCAAATTGCGTATAGGGAATCAGGTCTCTGACTTCTTCCATACTGAACAGGAATGCAGGGTGACGCAATTGGAGTACCTCTTCAGTGGGTCTATGAAGAAGACTCCCAAATTGCATATCGCTTATCTCTAAGTGGAAAAGAAAGTCATTGAATCATGAATAGGAGACGTGAAAGAGAAGTAAAGGCAAGAGTAATTAGCATTACAAGTTCTAGACAGGGAACTAGAAAAAAGTCAGAACAGGGCAATTCTCAAATGTTCATATGAGAGTCCATTGGAGTTTCTTGACAAGGGCTTCGAAAAGCATCCCTCTATTGGGTTCTTCCTCATTTTTCTTTTGTCTTTCAAGGCTGGACTAGTTGGCTGGGAAGAGTGGCTGGACACTCAGGTGAGGGTCCAGTGGCCCTGCTTGGCACTCCTTCAGTGAATTAGCACAACCTTCAACAAGCCCAATAGTGACTATGTTTAGCCATCAGGCTCAACTGAAGTCGTAATGATGGTAGTTATTTCATGCAGAAGGGACTGCTGTATAGCATCATCTTATTAAAAGGACATGGAATTTAAAAGGATTTGGTGCTAGGAGCCACATAGGAGGGAGAACATATGCCATTTTTTTTCTTTTCTCAGTTTCTAGATCCTTCCATTTACCTGCAAATTTCATTACTTCATCTTTCTTTACTGTTGAATAGAACTCCATTGTGTAAATATACCACATTTTCGTTATCTACTCATCAGTTGAGGGACACTTAGGTTGCTTCCATCTCTTAGCTATTGTGAAAAAAGCAGCAACAAACATGGTTGTACAAGTGTCTCTACAATAGGATGAGTCCTTTGGGTATATGGTAAGGAGTGGTATAACTGGGTCATATGATAGGTTCACTCTTAGTTTTTTAAGAGTTCTCTACACTGTTTTCCATAGAGGCTGCACGAGTTTGCAATCCCACCAGCAGTGAATGAGCATTCCCCTTTCTCCACATCCTCGCCAGCATTTGCTATCATTTGTTCTCTTGATCCTAGCCAGTCTGATTGGACCCCTCTAGATTTCTTACAGTATCTGTCCCTTCACTAGACTTGGGCTCCTTAAGTACAGTGTAATATGTATGATCATTAACTTTAATGTGTGACTTAGTGCTTTTTAGGCACTCTGCAACATTATTTTAATCTGTCCATTGTACCTATGTGTCATCCTAGAGCTAGAATCCTCCATGTGTTATTTCTTAAAATGGTAGCTCCAGGATACTAGGAGTAGAATACCATGATACCAGCCTTCTTGTTGGCTAGTTAGTCTCTACATACTCATTATAGTATGCAGATTCAATGTGCAATCGACATCTGTAGACTGATTTATTGAAAAATTCTCAATGTCCCCTGGATGCTATGGCTCCTGCAAGAGCCACAGCTCTGTGGGAACTATCAGCATCTCACAGAGCCCAGAACTCATTGGGAGAGCAGCCCAGCTACTGCCATTTCTTAGCCCCAGTGGGGATGGTTCCTACAAACCAGGCCCAGAGCAAGATGGTATGTATCTTGGAACTAGAGAGTAGGGTCTGGTTCTATTTTGTATGGACCTGTGTATTGGATTCTGAATCTTCAAACTCTGATTAGTGTCTCTTAGTCTGAGCTCCATTCGTTACTTGTTTCTGCAGGCCTGGATGAGAACTCAGACCCTCTACAGTATATATACAATGGGCTTTGCCTTTTCTTATGCCTTTGTGGCTGTCTTGGATCTCCAAACTCAACCTACTAGACTTTTCAGACTAACTGTACTTCTATCTGTACTCCATAGTTAGTTTGAACCACCACTGGATTTTTACATCCTAGAGATCACAGATCATCTCTTACTCCTCTATTCCCTGGTAGTTCTCCCACTGCCTGAAACACAGGAAGGATTCAATCTATGTCTCTTTAATTCTATCAACTAAGGACAAATTTGTTATTTAGTGCTGAATGTTGCCTGTTGTCCATGTCTTAATCTTCCCCCCAGTGAATTATGAACTAGCTCAGATTTTCTTGGAGAATTCCCAGGACTCTGACTATGTAACATATTGTACTCAAACCAATCCCCAACTATGGATCTGAAGCTGACCTGCTGCTCTAAGCAATCTGGCCCTGGTGTGGCACTCTCTGCACTTGTCCTCTCTCTTGGCCACTTGTCACCTGCATTTTAACTGACAGATTGGAAATGCAGGCATCTTGAATCAAATAAGTTCATATAATCTAAGGTATTTATTACAAATATGTATGAATTGAAGAAACCATCAACTCATGGGGTGGGAGAGGAGTTAAAAAAAGTATATTTCTTACCAGGGCCTTTGGCTCTCCCAGGAAGCAGATGTCCCAGTCGAAATATAATTACCCTTTCATATTCTTTTACAACCTAAAGGGAAATGGAATACTTTCAAATGACTTCAAGAAAAAAAAAAGTATTCAAAAGGCCTTGGCATGAGAGTGATCCTAGGGAAAAGAAATCTTTTTTTTTTATTTTTGAGTATTAAGTACTCAAAAGGCCGGGCATGGTAGTACACACCTGTAATCCCAGGACTTGGGGAAGGCAGTAGCAGGAGGATCACCTCAAGTTTGAGGCCAGTGTGGTCTACATAGCATACTCCAGGGCAGCCAGTGCTATATAGTGAGACCTTGTCTCAAAAATGGGTCTGGAGAGATGGCTCAGTGGGTAAAAGCACTTGCTGTACAAGCATGAGGACCTGAGTTCAAATCCCTGTAAGTCTTGGAGGTCAGGAACCGGGTCTTACAACTCCTGTGTTTGAACTCTGTGTTGTCTGTAGAAATGAGGGGTAGAACAGCAATTGGATTTGAGTCCTAGAGCATGCTCCAGAAAGTCTGAACTGTTTGGTTCCTGGCATTATTTGCTTCTTTGTTGGAAGAAACAAATTCCTCCCAGAAATGGAGTGAGATCTTATTTCGTCAAGACCTTGCTTAAATGTGACTGCTTGGTTCTGCTTTTGCCTTCTCTGCCTAATTGGCTTCTTAAGATACCTGGTCTGGGTGCCTTTCCTACACACTATGGCAAGTCAGTATTGGTCCCTGAAGAAACATGCAGGTCCTCAGATCTTACTTTAAGAAAAGTCTGCCAACTGTCTGCTGTCTAAAGGAGACATACTTTATATTCAAGGATATGAGAAGACTGAAAGTAAGAAGTTGGAAAAAAGATGAATCACATACAGCTATTAAAGGAGGGGAGTGAACTTTAGATAAAATGGACTTTAAAACAAAGAAGCAAAAAAAGAGGGGCACTGTAAAATGATAAGAGTAATCATTCAGAGCATATAACAATGATAAAAGTATATGCACCTAAAACTGTGCTCTAAAACACATGAAGCAAGACCCAAAAGAACTGAAGGTAGAAACAGACAATTGAGGGGCTGGAGAGAGAGCTCAAAAGTTAAGAGCATTGGCTGCTCTTGCAGAGGTCCTGGGTTTGGTTCCCAGCACCCACATGGCAGCTAACAACCGTCCATAATTCCAATTCCAAGGGATCCAACACTCTCTTCTGGACTTTGTGGACACTGCATGCATGTGGTGCACTTACATACATGCAGGCAAAACACTCATACTCATGGACTAAAATAAATAAAAAATACAAAAAAAGAGACAGTTGAGATAGCAGTACCCCACTTTCAACAATGGATAAAACAACAAATGAAAGAACCAATAATGAATTAGAAGGCTTGAGCAATTCTATAATACTGCTATACTTGAAATTTGCTAAGAGAATTGATCTGAAGTGTTATTGCCACACAAAAATCATAACTAAAAGTGATTCATATGTTAGTGTGATTGTGGTAATCATTTCACATATATATTCATATCCAAACATCACACTGGAACTGAGTATATAGGCTAGAGCTAGAGTGCTTTCCTAGCACATATATAAGCCTGAATTTGATCCCTAGCACCGCAAAGCCAAAAAATCATATCGTATACTAAATATATACAAATCTTACTCATCAAGCACATTAAAATAAAGCTGGAAAAATTAAAAAATATTTTTAATTAAAATTCATGCAAAGTAAAATACAAGATAAAGTAGTATACCTTTGGTGAATTCTGTCAAGCACTTAATGCGAGACCATCAACTTTTCACACACAAAAAGAAACCAGTACATTTTTTGAGGCTAATATTACTATGATATATGAAGTCAAATCACTGATACCACAGGAAAACTACACAACAATATCTCATAAGAATGAGATAGATGCAAAAAATCCTAACAAATGATTAGCAGCCTAAAGCCAGTAACAAAGATTTTACATTATGACCAAGTGAGGTGTGTGTCGTGTGTGTGCGTGGGCACGTGTGTGTGTGTGTGTGTGTGTGTGTGTGTGTGCACATGGAAGGGTGCATGTGTATGTGTACATGTAGAAGCCAGAGGACAGCCTTGGCTGTTGTTCCTCATTTATCACACACCCCATTTTTGGATATAGTCTTTCAGTGGCCTGGAGTAGGCTGGCTGCCTAGAGAGCTCCAGGGATCAGCCTATCTTCACCTCCCCAGTGCTGGGATTACAAGTGTAATTACAAGTGCCTGACTTTTTTATGTAGACGTGGGGGCTCAAACTCAGTTCCTCAAGCTTATGTGGCAAGCACTTTACTGACTAAGCTATCACCCCGGCCAACAAATTGAATTTTTAACATCTCAAAATTAGCAAACATAATATGCCATATCAGGACAGAATAAAGATTAGATACCATGTGAAAATCCAACAGATGCAAAAAAAAAAAAAAAAAAAAAAATCATGGGATACAATCCAACGCATTCTTAGGAAAGAGAAGTGGGAAGCGGGGAGAAAGGGTTGGAAAAAGCTACTGTCTACTGTGAGGAATGCAACCATCAACAGCCCCAGCAGCATCTGCAGTCCAGCTAAGGCCTTGCTCCTCCCCAGAAGCTCCAGACAAGGAGGAAGAATGACTGGCAGGGGTGCTGGAGAGTCCCCTTTCAGGTGGGTGGTGACTGTTTCAGAGCTGTACCACTGTCTGAATTTCTTTCTGTTCAGTTCTTTCTTCCACTTCTCATGTCTCAAATGTTAGACCCACATCTTTAACGATTTCTCCTGCCTACTCTTAGCTACTCTTATTCTCTCTCCTCCAAATTCCTGGAGCTTCTAATTCCATCTCAGCATGTGCTTCCTGAGCTGAGGTCTTCATTTGCTTCGGGGGCTGACATGTGTAAGCCACCTGGGGACCAAAGACAATTGTCTCTTATAATCTATGGAAGCTGCTTGTAAGTTTGCCTGTAGTGTCAGGAGTAGATGAGTAGATGCCATGATGCATTCTGGGCTTATCTTTGTGTCATCAAATGTGGATGAATTAGATTTAGGTCCTATCCTGCAGGGCCTCTCAGTCTACCAGGGAGGAATATATATGTTAGATGTGATAACATATTGTCCAAGCCATGCCAGAAGACCTATATCAATATTAAGCCTGTGGGAAGTGCTAAAGTACAATGAGAACAGAGTGACTCAGGGGCTCAGAACAGGAAGGGCAGACTTGGAGAGTCAAGGAAGCATCATGGTTACATTGAGCCAGGTCAGTCAGAGCTCTCCCGGAGGGCAGGTAGGCAAGAAGGCCTTCCAGGCAATTATCAAACATAGACTGAGAGTGGCCTGGAGGGGTCAGTGAGAGACATCAGGAAATCACCTGTTGAGTTCATATAGAAACTCACCTTTATGCAGAACCAGATGGACAATGGGAAAGTTATGATGATGAAGAGGAAGGATGTGAGAACAAGAAGCCACTCACAGGCCCCTAAACCAGAAGACTTGGTACCTAGGGAAAAAAAATATTGAAACCTCACCATATTTACTGAGTAGCACCTGTCAGTCTAGTGCTTAGTACTAGAATCAGAGCAGTTTGGATAAGTTCCTGGATATATTGGAATGAGTCAGAATAGTCAGAATTTCCAGGGTATGGAGTATTATCTGTGTGAAGGATTGTTTGGACCATGGGAAGGAGGAAATAGACTTCTGGACAGGCAGCAGGGACTAGGGTACCAGGAGGACCAGTGGGTTCCAGTTCTGGGTCCATCATTTCATATCCACAGATGACTTTTTTTTTTGTCTTTTTGAAGTAGGGTCTCACTGTAGCCCCAGCTGTCCTGGAACTCACTATGTAGACCAGGCTGGCCTTGAACTCACAGAGATCTGCCTGCCTCTGCCTCCCAAGTGCTGGGACTACAGGCATGCGCCACCACGCCTGGCTCACAGATGACTTTTAAGTGGGGCATAGGACATTTTTTTAAGTATATGGAGTATATTGCCTGCATGTATGTGAGTGCACCGTGTCATACAATGCTGCAGAGGTCAGGAGAGGGCATCAGATTCCCCTGGAACTGGAGTTAAGGACAGTTCATAGCCACCATGTGGGTGCTGGGAATTGAACCCAAGACCTCTGCAAGAGCATTTAGTGCTCTTAACCACTGAGCCATCTCTCCAATCCCCACAGGACATTTTAAAACATAATTTACTCACCTATATGATGGCGATATTAACACTACTATTTCATAGTAGTTATCTCATGAGCTGTATATGAGATACCTAGTACAAAGTATGCAGATGCTGACTTGTGCTTGGCATGTCTCAGATTTTACTTTCTGAAGTGCCTAGAGGTTCATGGTATTACCTGTCTTCCATTAGAATCCCTTTATTGGAGTAAGGTGGTGATCTCCAGTCTTTGAAAATACCTATGTTGCATAATATTAGGTTATGTCTGTAAAAAGATGATATGGAACTAGGATGTTTACACATCCAAGATGCTTGGATGGTACATGAAATGCCATCAAGAAAAGTCAAAGTTGGCACTGGAGAGATAGCTCAGTGGTTGGGAACATTGCCTACACTTGCAGAGGATCCTTTGGTTCCCAGTTACCCATATTAGGCAGCTTATAGCCATCCTTAGCTCCAGAGGATCCAATCCCTCTTCTGGCCTCCGTAGGTACCTGCTCACATATGGTACACATTTATACCAACACATACATATAAATTAAAACATTAAATACCCCCTAGTAGGGGATCAGAGCATGCTGGCTAGCAGGAGTAGTCATATTTTTGCCAGGAGTGGTGGTGCATACATTTAGTCCCAGCACTCAGGAGGCAGAAGCAGGTGGATCTCTGTAAGTTCAAGCCCAGCCTGGTCTACACAGTGAGTTTCAGGCTAGCCAGTGCTGCACAGTGACATTCTGTCTCAAAAACAGGGGCTGAAGAGATAGTTTAGTGGTTAAGAGCACTGGTTGTTCTTGTAAAGGATGGGGTTTGGTTCCCAGCATACACATGGCAGTTAACAACTGTCTGAAACTCTAGTTCCAGGGGCTCCAGGCCCTCTTTTGACCTCCACAGGCATCGTATGCACTGATGCACTTACATACATGCAGGTAAAACACACACACACATGCACAAAAAAAATAAAAAAGAAATATAAAATAAAATAAATGTTTTAAAACATCAACCTTGGACACAAGCTCTTGGGGAGGGGAGCTTGCTTGGTTTACATTGTGCCCCCCAGGCCCTAGAATAGTGTTTTATATAATATACATTTTTGTTTTGTTTTGCTTTTTTGTTGTTGTTGTTTTTCGAGACAAGGTCTCCCTATAGCCCCAGCTGGCCTGGAACTTGCTATGGAGACCAGGCTAACCTTGATTTCACATAGATCTACCTGCCTCTGTCTCTCAGGTGCTGGGATTAAAGGCGTGTGCCACCACAACCAGCTTGTGTTTTATGTATTATATATGCTCAATAAATATTTGCTGAATTAGGAAAGAGAATTAATAGTGGGAATTCTTTAATGTAATATAAATCTGAGTTATGGAAATCTTAAAAATTTTTTATTTAAAAAAAAATTTTAAATTTATTTTCACTTTTTATGTCTATGAATGTCCTGCCTGCATATATATAAGTGCCCCACATCATGCATTGCCTGTGGAGGTCAGAAGATGATGTTGGATCCCCTGGAACTGGAGTTACCAACAGTTGGTAGACACCATGTGGGTGCTGGGAACTGAACCC